GCTGTTGTCATAAATGTAAAAGAAATAATAGTGCTAGTGCTGCACCCTGTTGGTAATCCTTGTAACTTTAATGCTATTGAACATCACAGAACAGAACCAACTTGTTTAATTGAAACAGCTGTTAAGATTCAATAATTTCATTTCTCATAAGGTTAACATGGGCTTCCAGAAATTCCACGTCAAAAATCGACAAAAACTTGATTTTCAAGGGTTTACTGTTAAATATCTAACTGTCTCATATTCGATGAAATACGTCTAAAACCATCTCATATATGTATAGTATTTGGAAAATAAGTTTCAGGCGGGACAGTGCTATAGTTATTGAGGAGTAGTTGTAATAAAGTGCGTATTTTAGCGTTACCAAGAGAATGACAGATAGACAGATAGACAGACAGACAGACAGACAGACAGAAATTGAGATAAGGTTTGATTCGGTTTCTCTGACCTATGAAATGTAAAAATAACCAAAAAGTTCATTATTCTAAGCAATGTACAGACAAAACTCTAATTTTATTTATATAGATATTTTACGTGTGATGAACATTTTACTGACATTTGAAAAGTAGGTCTAAGCTACAAATATCCGAATATTGGCTACATCATGGCTTTAAACCTCTTTGTGATTGGCTGGGTTTGAACCCGGCTCATTAACAGCCTGGCCATCCCTACTGTTTACAGTGTTATCATAGAATATATTGAATTTGATTATAATTCCATTTCTAAAATGTATGTTTTTAACCGCGATGAGTTAATTACAAAATTGCGAGTACGATTCAAGGTAATAGTAATCTCAAACATTTCTATGTAAAATTCATGTCTACGAATAAACGCAAACAAAAATGGAAAACTTCCAAAACGAAATTCACCCTGAGGATGTTAAAACGTTTCATTCTCTGATACGGAGAATATGAATTTAGTTGCTGTGAATGTTCTTTATGGCTTGCTCTTTTTTCATATATGTTACAGTAACGAATAAAATGTATTGAAAAAATACAACACTAACTATATTTTAAACGAATATAATATTATCTTACAATAATCGATGTATTTATGCTGACCCTGTAAAATTATAAGGAAAATAATGAAGATAAAAACGATGCAATACAGAAATTTTGTTAGTTTATGATCAAGCACAATTCGAGATTAAGAGAACCTTAAATGGGGTCTCTTTAGTACTTTTTGAAAGTTTTGGAGGCATATTTAAATATGACATTTAAGGTAAGTTGTTTATTGCATATTCTTTCCTTATCATGAAATTTTAAAATCTATAAATATCTTATCAGAGAATCTATACGTTAACCTGGCTTATCTGGTCAATTTTTAATAAGTATCTTGTATAGAATTTAGTTTTTCGTTCCGTTTGAATGTAAAGAACTAGCATATAACGATATCACATGACTTTCATGCGCGTCCTTCTTGATTATGTTTAATAATTTTTAACGTATTTAATGGCATAATTGTATAATACTAAAACAGTATTTTAATTAAAATCTCTTATTTAAAAGTTGTAAAACACACGCTAGTAGAACAAGAGGCTATGCTAGAGGCAACTTTAATGTAAAAAAACACCATGTTAAAATATTATTATTATATTTCTGAAATATATTTATCTTTTTAATTATTATTGATTGAACCATCAAAATAAAACATACATAATGCATAAATTATAGTGCACCAAGTTTCAAATATTTTAGTTTAAAACTTTATTTTATCCTGTATACAAATGCGTATGCTCTTTGAACTTTATACACTTTTTTCTTTATAATGTATAAGTACCTTATTTTCAGAGGTACGTCTCGTTGTTTGATGGTGAAAACATTTCATCAATATTTAGCTTGAATAGAATACATTTTAAGTACACGGAAAGGCAGTTGTATGACTATTAGAGATCAACTAATTCACCAGGCTGTGTTTACCGTCCACTGATTATAGATTTTTACAGTACTATTTCCGGTTTTAGGCAATCATTTTAACATGGTGTTAAGTGACAATCTGAGTTCCGTTATGTAACTGACCTTTAAGACCTGACAAATGAAAGGTGGAGTTGATGAAGGGGGCAAGTAACAATTTTGTAAAAATTGAGTTAGATGCATGGATGAAGGGTGTAAGTGATGCTTTATATAGTACACTGACTCCCATAGTCCTAAGTATAATAACAGCTGAGTTATTTTTCTAACTTAGGGGTTGAGTACAGGAAATGCACCCAAATGGAGTGTGTAAAGGTGGTAAGTGCTTCACTTGCCCCTTTCATCTACTTAAAGTGTCACTTACACCCTTCATCCATACTCTCTGTGTGCTTCACTTACACCCTTCATCCATAACTCTTTGCGCAATTGTCCCCTGCACTTACCCCCTTATTGTTAGGTAATAGTAGCGGTTTAAGAATGAAAAAAAATTATATAGTTATAACCTGCAAACTTTAGGTCCATTTATCTAAAAAGTAACAAAATGTTACTTACCCCCTTCATCCACTCACCCCTTCAAATATCCTAAAGCTTTTCTCCAGTCCAAACTTTGCCATGGAAACCAATATTAGTTTCAACGCAATCAAACTGTTTTTTAGTTTAAGAAATAACAATTGAGTATGTCTAAGAGCGCAGCATAGTTTAGCTTACTGGCAAAAACAAAGATTACATCTATAATTTAATAAATTAATAAAGGACTAACATTGATAATAAAACTATTCTACTGAATTTTACAAAGGCTTTCCTAAGTGACCGGAAGAGATTCATCCGCTTCTTATTCCTATTTTACCGTAGTATAAAGTCATGTCGGTCTGGACAATAAAGATTACTCAAAATGTGATTAACCTATATCAAAGGCATTAGAATACTTACCTTTCTAATATTAATAGTTCTCATACAAAACTGATACGTTTTCTCTAATATCAGCTTAATTTTTTAATCTGTAAAAAACTTTTTAGCTCCCAATAGCCCGTTTACATAGCTGAACGAGTTTGTAATGTTTCCAGAAAACTCACCTTTTACAGTATTATGAAACGGGGTCGAGCTAAAACCACCCCTAGTTGTGTTGGAATGGAGATGGTTCATCATTATTCGCATTCCCTTGTGTTCACAAACAAAGAATACAACCATGTTTCTCCCTTTGATGTGAAATATTATGTACAAATAATGTTAATCATTAAAAAAAACTTTTCTTGGTTTTAATATGGGTTATTAAAAACCATACCAATAAAGATTGAAGTTATTGCTAGTTTTTCTACCAATATGGTTTGGGTTTGAGAATTGGGTTTTATGTTAGCCTGCAAAACATATACCATCCCATACAATATTTATATTTCATTCAATTTTAATAATAATTGCACCATACACGTACTATATCCACACCACTCATACTAAACTACCATACATGGTACACATACTATACTAAAAAAGTTAGCTTTCACAAAAATAGGTCTTTTGTCAATACTTAAAGGGATCGGCCTACAGAACCATAGCGTAGGCCTACGTATATCTTTGCATATAAACACGTAAGCTGATTTTCAGTGGGCTTTCATGATGCAAGGATTTTGAACTTCGGTATCTTATTGACGTAGAGTTAATACTAAATATATTTTTAGATTAGAAGGATGAGAACATTTTGAATACAATTTGGATCAATTTGGACAGTTTAGTGAATAAAATATGATTAGTGCGTGTTGTGTATTTGTGTGTGTGTGTGTATTGCTCAATTCTTGGTTATATCATATAAACTCATATGCATGCTGTTGCTATATGTAATATAAATGTTTGGAACCAAATATTCTTGGAGAAAGATATCAGTGTCAATGGGATGTTCTCCTGGGCTGAATATGGGATTTATAACTTGTATCTGTGAGCTCGTTTTGCAGCAAATATCAATACTTCCATCTTCTGTGGTAGCAACGCTGTCACATATTCAAAAATGAGTTTTGCCAGTTGTTAAATCATAAATTGTTAAAAGCCAAAGGTTTTAGCGAATTTCCCTATAGGGAAGTAGCTATTACCGTAGGTCTCATGGTAAGACTTAGGCCCAGGACCGATTTACTTTTTCATTTTAATGTCCCCAGAGGCCAAAAACACCATTCGTTCAAATTTTTATATATGTATATGTATATATATATATATATATATATATATATATATATATATATATATGCGTCCGTTAGAACAATAACTCAAGAAAAAATAATCCAATTTTGATTAAATTTAATATAAACGTGTTAACCTACGTTTATTCGAACGATTTCGCGAACCAGCATGATCGGATTACGGGAACGGGTGTTTATGGGGGGTTTTATGGGGTAAAAGTTACGTTTTCCCATTTTTCGCCCTAAAAACAAACAAATTTGCAAGTTTTTACCAAACCATATTGTAGAGCTTAAAAAACTAATAATTTAGTAGGCCTATATTGACACGTTACTATGCGCCTAATGGTTACGGAGAAAATTTAAAAATATTTTAAATAATTTAAAATACCTATGTTATTCTTATAGAGAATAAGTAGGCTTACACTGTTGTAGTTTGCTTGTTTATGAACATATTTTAATCAAATTTGGAAAATGCATTCATATCTTACTAAACGAAAACACTTTTCTACCCTCCCTATTGCAGCAAACCTAAGTTGTCTGTACACTAATGCTATTTAAATAATTATTAGGGATTAGGATTAGGGATTAGGGATTAGGGAATAAATGTGATATTTTTGAGGAGACATTGTAATATACATCCAACCAGGCAAATAGAAATTCGCTTAGTCTGCAGGTTTGCTGCGGTGGGGGTATTTACATTTCCACCAAAATTTTCCGCTAAAATCGTTGATAACGTAATAAACTAATCGTCCATAAAACCTAAATAAAAATTAAAACATTTACTGTATCCTTCAAAAGACAAAAGCCTAATCGAACCGCATCCACATCCTTATAAAGGACAAAAGCGTGATTAGCCTTTGGGAGGTGGGGGCAACAATGGCCACCCCCACCGATGGGTCGCAACTCCCAAATACGCTCAGTCGCGCGTCGTCCTCCCAGACGGATGGACCTGGACGAGATCCTCCCGGATGTAGGACAGTTTGGGGCATACCAAAAGCTGTTGTTGTACTTTGTACTATTACCTTGTGTGTTGCCATGTGGCTTCCACGCGTACAATCAGCTGTTTATGGCCGCGGCTCCCCAGCACTGGTGTCGTGTCCCGGAGTTAGACCATTTGGACCCTTTCGTCGCCCGGAACCTCAGGTATTAAGCGTATTTTTGTCCTTGTGAATATAAATATTATACTCCTCATTGAATTAATGATTAAACAATTAGGTGCTTTATTCGTTATAATACCTCCAATATAATCCTATCAGGTTGAAATGTACCATCTAAAAATATATCATGTTTAGCGTCTCTTCCTTTTAGATTGGAGCCAAAGTATAACCTAGACCTTCAATCGTGTATTGTTAGAGACCTACACAGTTACAGCCTACAGTGTTACAGTCTATGGTAGTAATGGACAATTGTACAACAAGGATATTAGTAAAACATTTTTCTTTTGGTTATTTAAGAGCTCAACAATTATCATTTGCATTACTGTTACCACGTCAAAAGATTCGTTTAAAGAGGTTGGAGCATCTTATAGCCATGAATTTCCCCACATATGTTGGTAGAACGTATTATATATATATATATATATGCTAGGAAGGGGTGGGCTCATACATGGTTTTCTGAGGTAACACCGGAACGCAAAACCACACCATCGTTAAATTGTTGTCACGGACAGCTATGCTACTGAGTAACTCACCCACTCATAGCAAAGGCTTGGAATTGCATTTATATCCTTCTCACTGTTTATTTATTTGTTGTGTACAAATTTACTATATTGTGCATTCGTATAAAAATTATTTTATTTTTGTTGGTTATTCATTTTTGTTTACTTTGTGTTAAACTAAAACAGTAAATTAAATTTAAAGGGGGATTTTATGTTGTATTTTTATATAAACATAGGTATATATATATATTTCAAACATGTAGTGAAATAATAGTAAAAAAAAAAAATTTATGATATTTTTATTTTACACTAAGAGTTTATTATCTCACATTGCACCTGTAAGACTTTACATTTAAAACATTATACACTTATTTCTAATTTACAATAACTGAGAATATTTCCAGAGAAATACCAACGGAATATATTCATTGTGGATAGGAATATTCAATGGTGAAGCTCTAAATCTCCAATATCAATAAGGTTGCTACTATATATAATTATGATGTCCCCCATGCAGTTGGCAGATCCTTAGCTAACATCGTTTACACTCTATTATTGATACTACAGTATTATAGTAAGAAATTATACTATTATCCAATAATGTGTCACCATAAAATCAGTGTTATTATTTTAACTTGCATACAGTTAAAATAATATTATTATTCCCAATGTTGGGGTGATATTTATTTTAATTACAGCTGCCTAATGTGTTACCAGCTATGGTCATGGGATCCTTTCTTGTGAAATCAAAGCCACATGCATGTTTTGGCTTCATACAGAGTTTATGGCGATGGTCGATGGATATTTGCATCCAGTATTTTTGGGGACACAAAAGATACGCTTTTAAAATATAAGAGAGAACAAATTTCATATTTTACTTCATTTTCGTGTTGTGAGGCTCTTTTCCCTGAATATAAGATAATTGTTATCGTTTTCTGTATAAATACAACTTTATGGTACTAAAATAATGAATCATGCAAATTAATGAATGAAATATGTTTCCCTACTTAGTAGCTAAAATTAATTACAAGCACATATCACGCATTGCACAAAAAATATATACTTGAAATAAACTGTTCGTGATGTTTGAGATATAATTCACTAACGATAAATAGTATTATCATAAATAGTAAATACAATCCGTATAACACTACCCTGACTCTGTTTGTAAATTGCTTTACTAAGGCAATCTTTTTAGTCAAGGCATACTTTTAAACACCCACATTTTTTGTCAGCTTGTGTAAATTTTATATTATAACAATAACTAAATGTCCTGTCCATAAGTACATATAAATAATATTTTGTATATGGTAGTCACTTTGTTTCCTTGGATGATCATCAATAATAACAGAACGTCGTATTTAACAAAATTATAACATCTTCAGTGTGAATTTACATATCAGAAACCTTGCATTATTTCTGAAATAATGCATAATAACTTTAGTTTCACTCTACTCTGTGTGGGAAAAAAGAAATGATAAACTATTATGTTTTACAAGAAAACCATTTCTAGCAAAGTAAAAATTGTTATTACTGAAGGTTTTTTTATGGTTAACACCTAGCATGGAAACATTTCACTACGGATAATTGTACTCACTTAAGTTCTTTGGAACTGAGAGAATGCCTTGAAACTACACAACAGCAAACCAATAACGACATTCTTGTTCGACAAACTTATGTCAAATTAAATATATTTTCATCTTGTTACATAACTCAGTTTCACAAACCAGTAAAACTGCATGGCGGGAATATATTTCCCCCCCCCCCCCCTAAAATGAATTTGGGACCTAATTACCATATGAAGAGATAGTATTTAATAAATATTTTACTAACAGATATTTCACACTAATACAATGGCGTTAGGTGATTGTAATATTTTAGAAGAAAATATAATTTTTGGACTTTTTAAAATATATTTTATACGCTAATAGGTTTCTGAACTTGAAGGTTGTTTTTCTTGTCAAAATAAAAATAAATTAAAATTAGAAATTGCATAACTGTTTGTGCAGTTTAAAACATAATTATTTTTTACTATCTGTCACCCTCGGGCTTCACCCCGTTTTAGTTCATAAGTATTGATACAATTATTGATTGGTTAAGTTAAGCTGAAATAAACAAAACTGAATACAGAAATACAAACAAATAATTACACCTGATTTTAATAAGTAAATAAATTTAAAAAACAACATACAAATAAGGACAGCTGAGGTATTTTTTTTTACATTAGGTATAAAAGTATAATAAAGATATAATAAGGTAATATATAAAAGGGAAAGTTCCCTTTGGAAAGCAATTGCCTTAAAGGGTGATTTATGAAATAATGGATAGTTTTGCGCAAGGTTTCTCGTCATGACGAACATTTTAAGTATATGGTTTATGAGGGTGTGACTTGTAGTTTCATGGGTACTTTTGGCTTTATATATAGATTTTTGTTTGCGTTTCTATAAATTTTAGCACTTGGATCAAAATGATCGAAAAACAAAATAGTAAGAAGATATTTTTTTTTTTAATGTTCATAAATATGAGTTTTCTACAATTCAATTTTAAATGGAGAAGCTTGACTTTAAATAACAAAAATATGATCATTTCTTTTATTCATATCATATCTGATATACAAAATAAGAATTATATAAACAAAACAGACCCTTTTAACCCTCCCTGTAGCGCAAACTTAAGTACTCATAAAATTTGATGATGTTTAAATAGGAAATCAATGTGACAATTTTAAGAGAATATTTTAATGAATATCAAGACAGGTAAATTTAAATTAGCTTAGTCTGCATGTTTGCTGCAGTGGGGGTATTTTTAATTTAAAACCCAGTGGTAAATTATAGTCATATTATAAATAGTCTAAGCCACTGGGGAAAAATCATCAAGCTAAATGTATTAGGAGCTTTCATCATATTATAAATGATGTATTTCATTTTTTTTTTTTAAACCACCAATTTCTGAGAACACTACTTATCTTTGATTTTACAGTTACTTTGGTTGCACGCAAAACTAGCTCTCATGTAAGGAAACAAAGGATATCAATTGTTAAACAGCAAACTTTTTTAGGTCTATTTATGCTTATGAAAATAATATCTAAAATGGCATTGAGATAACTATGTTTTAGACAAATATTACTGTGAAACTTATTAGTCAATGATATTACATATTTTACTATTTATAGTTTACTGGTTTTAATAACTCATGGTTCTTTTTACTGGGTAAATCTACAGCTCAAGTGGTTTAAATCTGTAACATAAATAGTCATAAAGTGTACTTCCATTCATTTAAGTGTTACTCAAATATAAATTTAATTTTTATCCAAAGAAGTAAATGGAGTATTGTTATGTGTAGTATTGAAAACCCTTACTTTGGCAACAAACAAGAAATCGAGAGAGATATCAGTCGTTTCCAAACTTGACAGTAATTCCCTATGAGTTATTATATACTTTTTTAGTAGAGTGGCTTATAAAGCACAATATTATGTTACATTTTTAAACATCTTTATTGTGTTTTGTAATGTTTCTTTTTTCTTCTTACTTTCGTAGAACCATAGATTAAATGAGTAGACATGTCTAAGATGTAAGTCCAAATTATTTACATAACTACCGTCACAGTTTAACGAAATATGTCAAGTTAGTACATTGTTATTGAGCTGTGATGGGAATTACGTAGGTAATTTAGTCTGACACTATGTCCAACATCTTGGAGGCTAGAAACATGGATTGTAAGTAAATTTCCATCGAAAAAATCACCTAGGCAACAGTGACAGAAAAACATATAAACAAACAAACCATTCACATTATTGACAGAGTGGTACAAGCATACCATTGAGATACTAACTAGCCTGTGTTTATTGGTATATAGTACTTAAACTAATCATAATTTCATAATAATTATGAAACTATTCATCGCTTTTACTTCTAATACGAGTAAACTATTTACGTACGATGATCCCACTGTGAACGTACCATCCTTACAAAAAATCTTACCTACCTACTGAATAGTTTGTTGTGTTTGGAAAGGATACACGAGAGAGATCGAGAAATGCAAGGTACAATGCAATGAAACCTAGATTGTAATGCAGTATAAATTCTTATATACTAATTAGTTTGAGAAACGCGTTAGCTAATTATTTTAAGTGACTTAATAATATGAATAGACTATGAAAATGGTCCATATATCTCGGAGAATTGTTCTTCTTTTACAATTGCTGCTTGCTGTATTTTTAATAAAAAAATCTCGTTTAAACATTCTATGACGAAAAACATATTGGTAGTACAATTTTCTGTAATAATAAAATGATTATACTAAATTCCGTTTAAACAGTGAATTTAGTATATTTTTTAGAATAAGTTGAAAATATAGTTTTCATTGTAAGATAATAAATGAACATTTATAGCCTTAAAAATGAAATAGTGTATAGGCCTACATCTGTTATGAAACTGTTACCGTGTTTAAATCATTATGGAAATTCAATTAAAAAAAAAGGTGCTTT